CCTTGCTCCCCCCTCGCTACGCCACTGATTAGGTCACACCCGGACAATTAAGAACTGTAGGAAAGTAAGCTTTTTTACCTTAATATTAGTTTGAAAAGAAGAGAGGTTATTTTACATTTAGTGGCATCCCTGCCGGGATCTGGCCTTTCTTGAGGAATAAAAATAAGTTAGCAAACGAGAAAGAATAGGAATCGAAAGTGAAAGTAATTGTTTATAAAACGAGCTCGTCAGAATCAGAACACTTAAACAATGGCTGACGACGCAATTGCCCGTCTTAAAAAGCGCAGATGAATTGTAAGAACATCGGCGACTAATTAAATGAAAACCATCGAAACTGAACTCAAAAAAGAAACTGTTTCAGATTGTTTAGAAGAGTCGTTAGAATTGTTGACGTAATTAGCAACTGAATTAGAAACTTTGGACAGTGAACTACAAAAAATTCTGGATCCTAAAGAACTTGATGCGGACATTAATTCGGCCATGGATTATCGCGAAAGAATAATTACATGGAAATTTAGAGCAAAAAAGAAAATAAACTCACAATTATTGATTCCAAACGAAAGCACAAAACAATCTGCATCTCAAAACGAAACCACGCCCGATTCAAGTTTAAGGAACACTTTAGAAAATATGTTTCAAGATTAAGTTCAAATAAATCTACCGAAATTATCAATCCAAAAATTCTATGGAGATATTAGCCAATGGCTTAGTTTTTGGAACTCGTTCGAATCAGCCATACACAACAACAATTCTTTAGATAAAATTAGCAAATTCAATTATTTGAAATTTTACTTGTCGGTAACAGCGCTTCAGACTGTCGAAGGATTTGCTATAACTGCTGAAAATTATGATAATGCTATTAAAATGTTAGAAGATAGATTTGGACGCATGGAAATTTTAATCGACACCCACATGAATAAAATTTTGAATATTTTCCCCTTAAAAAACTCCAGTGATGTGAAATCATTCCGAAAGCTTTTCGATGCGATTCAAACAGAAATTCGAAGCTTAGAATCGCTAAATATTTTATCCGATACCTATGCTGTCTCCCATGTTATTAAAAATGATTTGGTTTTTGAATTTCATAAGGAGATAAAGAATTCCTCATGTAATACAAAAGATATACTAGAGTTCCTATCTAAAATTTTAATTGCTAAAGAGCTTTCATCTTTTTTAGCCATTCGAAATGAAGGTCAAAAAGAAAAACCTACTATTTCTTTCACTCCGCGGTATAGAAATGAACATAAGAATCAAAAAATAATCACCGGCGCCGAATTGTTTTGTTCTTCGGAAGTAAAAAATCATAAATATTCATCGGATTGCGGTTTCTGTCGTAAGTCACACAGAAGTGATCTATGCCCGCTCGCTTTAAAATTGAGTTTAGAAGAAAAGAAAAATACAGTGATACACGAAAGTCAGCATACACCTTTCAAAATTAGCAGAAACTTATTTATTTCAAATATTTACTTAAGAATTGAAATCAATTTAGCTTAAATTGATTAGAAATAAAAAATTGATGAGCAAAAACAGTAGTTTTTTTTATCATTAGACAAAAAATAATATAAAATATTGGAGAATCAGTCATTTCGCAAGTCTCGAAAGTGAACATACAGGAAATTCTACGCTTGAAATTTCCATATTTTAATATTTAGTTGGTCCACCTTTTGAGTTTAAAACAGCTCTCATACGATTAGGCATTGAGTAGACCAGTCCTTCTGTTACAGTGCCGGGGATTTTTTGCCATTCTTCAAGCAATGCCTTTTTAAGATCGTCTTTGCTTTTAATTTGCCTTTTTCTGATACTTCTGTCCAGTTCATCCCATAAATTTTCGATAGGATTCAGGTCGGGGCTTTGAGGAGGGGAGTGCAGTTGTCTTGGAGTGTTGTACAACAGCCATTCCTTGACAACACCAGCTGTGTGCTTTGGATCCCGATCTTGTTGGAATATCTAATCATTTCCTATGCCTAATTTCCTCAGTGATTGCTTCAAATTGTTTTTCAATATATTCAAATAGAGAAAACGATCCATAGTGGTTTCTATAAAGACTAAATTGCCAACACCTGAAGCTGAAAAACAGCCCCAAACCATCACTGAACTTCCGCCATGTTTTACTGTAGAAATCAGATTCCTCAATTCTAACTCTGTTCCGGGTTGTCGCCAAACTTTTTGCTTACCATCCCAGCCAAAAATGTTAAACTTAGATTCGTCTGTAAAAACAACTTTGCTCTAGTAATCAAAATTATCGTTTTCATGAAGATGCGCAAATGCTAATCTTTTGTCTCTATTGACTTTACTAATGAGGGGTTTTTTACGAGGAATTCTGCTATTATATCCTTCTTCTCTCAAGGGCCTTCTAACACATTCTGGATTTACATCAGTTTCTTTAACCTTTTCAAGATGTTTGGCTATGTTTACTGCAGTAGTTTTCGGATTATTACGAATTGTTCGAATGATTTCTCTTTTATCTCTACCGTTCAATTTTGGTGATCTACCAGTACGAGGCAAGTTTTCCGTAGTTTTTGTCAAATTATATTTCCTAATTATTCCTTGCACTGTAGCTCTACTTCTACCAATAATTTGACTTATTTGATTGAGTGATTTTGCCTCATTTTTCAATTTAATAACCAGTTCTCTGATTTCTAATGCTGTTTCAGTTCTTTTAGTTGCCATTTTAAAATTAGTGAAATAAATTTCATTCAAAAATCTCCTCTAAAGCTTATATAAAACAAGGCACAATTCTTACAAATATATTAAAAGAATAAAAAGATGGCCAAATACATGCAAAAATCTATTTAAATCCAACTGTATGCTCACTTTTGTGAGTTTGAAAAACGCATATTTTTTACTTAATCTGAAAATGATTATGATAATCTTAAAATGTTTGATGTCTATTAGACACATAATGATTCAAATGCATACTGGTAGCTATACGAATGAGAAAAGGAAATTTATTTGCATTTTATTTCAAAAAATGGGAAAATTTGCAAGTGTATACTGACTTTCGTGTATCATTGTATTTTATTTAAGAATGGCGCTTGCTTTAAATGTACTTCCCTTTCTCACATTAGCCGTCAATGCAAAAATAAAAATATTTTATGTAAACATTGCGGACGTGGTCATGTTTCGATTATGTGTTATAGTTTAAATAATAAGGAAAAAGAAAAATCTAAATATGAAACAAATGATAATATGTCAGAAAATAGTGTTTTAGCTAATAATTCTAGTTATAAAGAAATTCTTTTGCGGACTTTAATTGTATGCATTAATGTGAATGATGTAGATTATTATGTTAGAGGGATTCTTGACACTGGGTCACAAAAAAGTTACGTCAGTAAATTTATTGTAGAACCTTTAAAATTGAAGTGTTTAGGTGAAGAATCTGTGAATCACGGCCTTTTCGGAGGAATAGTTAAACAAGAGACCCATAAAAGATATTGTATAGAATTAAGTAATATTGATAAGAGTTTTTCTTTAAATGTAAATGTAATGGATCAGGAGAAAATTTGTATACCATTACCGAAATTAAACGATGCTAATAGTGTTAGGGAATTGAAGAATTTTGGAATTTATATTAGTGATATTTTCATCAATGACAATGTTTGTTTGTGTGAAAAAGATCCGAAAGAATTACATTTTCTCTTGGGAGCGGATGTAGCTAGCAAAATCTTTACCGGAGATATTAAACATCTTGGTAAAGGACTATTAGCAGTAAAAACAAAACTAGGGTGGACAATAATGGGCAAAATTGATAATAACGATTCGAAAATGGAAAATTCTTTGTCAAGTTTATCGTTGTCTTTGCATGTTTCCGATTCTAAATTAACAGATTTATGGCGTTTAGACACTTTAGGAATTTCTGCACGAGAAGAAAATCAAACTAAGAATTTACTAGAGGAAGAGACCAAAAAGCATTTTGCGAACACGATTAGAAAAGACAAAACTGGTAGATATGAAGTTTCATTACCTTGGGTAGTAGATAGTTCCATTTCGCACAATAACCGTTTTATAGCCGAAAAATGTCTCGTTAAAACAGAAAATAAGCTTAGTACAAATCATAGGGACGAATATCAGAAAATGTTTGAATTTTGGGAATCTGAGAATATTATTGAGGTGGTAAATGACAATAAGATTTCGGGAACCCATTACCTACCCCATAGACCCGTATTTAAAGAAAATAGTGAGACTAAGAAAATCCGACCGGTTTTCAATGCGTCAGCGCACACAAGTAACAAACCATCACTTAATGATTGTTTGACAAAAGGACCAAACCTAATCGAAATTATACCCAGTATAGTGAACCGTTTTCGGAAATATCGAATAGGAATTTCGTCGGATATCGAGAAAGCATTTCTTCAGATTAATGTTAGAGAAAATGATCGCGATTTTTTGAGATTTTTTGTGTTATGACAGTGAAAGAAATATCAGGGTTTATCGGCATAGGCGCGTTGTGTTCGGCCTTACATCAAGCCCCTACTTGTTAGCCGCTACGCTAGAACATCACTTGAACAATGTGCCAGAACATTTCAATCAAACAGAGGAGTTATTAAGATCATCTAAGATTTTACCCTCCAATCATCCAGTGGTACACCGTTTAATAATTGAAAAACACATCGAACATCAACATGCAGGAGTAACAACACTTATGTCACTTCTAAGAGAAAACTTTTGGATTTTAAAGTCAAGGAAGACCATACGTAACATTATAAGAAAGTGCATCCAAATCGTGGATTGTGTTATTTACCTGTGCTATATACCGTGCTTTACACCTGAAACTGATAACATCTCTGTCAACGGAAGCTTTCATTCAATCCCTGAGGAGGTTTATTTCAAGAAGAGGCAGGCCATACATTATCTATGGGAGAGACTAGTTAGAATGATTAAACAAGTCTTAAGAAAAGTTCTGGGTCATGCTTCCCTGAACTATGAAGAACTTAATACAATACTATGTGAGTGCGAACAGATTTTAAATTCTAGACCAATTACATATGTGTCCGAAGATGCAAAAGATCCTTCTCCTTTGACACCTATGATGTTTCTCCATGAACTACCATCATCGGGAGTCCCAGATATTGATGAAATAGATGCAAAAGAACTTAGTCGTAGAGCCAAGTACAGACAACAACTTCGTAATGATTTGAGAAACAGGTTTCGTAACGAATATCTAGGACAGTTGAGACTCTACTCTGTTAAGAACAAAAGATTTGATAAAGTGAATGTTGGAGACTTAGTTCTTTTAGAGGAGGCCAACAAAAAGCGTATCCATTGGCCCTTAGCTAAAATTGTAGAGGTTCTACCCGGAAAGGACAATGTGATTCGCCTTGCTAAAGTCAAAACAGAAAACAGTGTTTTCCTCCGTCCAGTGCAAAGACTCTACCCTCTAGAACTTCAACCTGTAGAACTTGTCCCTAAAACCATCGAAAGAAAGGACCCACCTGATTCAACAATTCCTGTGAGTGACCAGAATGATGGAGCAGCCATTCAAAAGCCTGATATCCCGAGTGGCGATCGAACCAGCTACCCTATCACTTTTCCAGTGACCAGAGTTGGACGAGCTATTAGACCACCACAACGTTTGAACTTGTTGAGCTCTTCAATTATTTCAGACCTCAAGGTGGGAGAATGTTACGAACTGCAACCGTAACTCCTTATGCTGTCGAACTGCAACCGTAACTCCTTACGCTGANTGAAAGGAAGAGAGGTTATTTTACACATACGCTCGTTATTTCATTATAACATTCACGAATCCTGTCTTACCAAACACATCATTTTCTAAGGTTTCACCATTCTTAATACACAAGGCTCTTCTCTCCGCACTGGGAGAACTAGCCTCAGTGAGAAAACTACGTTCTGGCGACCTTCTAGTGTAAACGACATCCGGGATTAAACTCCTATTCTTATGTTAACTATTTCAGTTTTATTAAATTTCATCGTTTATTAGAAGAAAAACGGCCTCAAGAAGTTATTAGGTCACACCCGGACAATTAAGAACTGTAGGTAGGTAAGCTTTTTTACCTTAATATTGTTATTAGTTTGAAAGGAAGAGAGGTTATTTTACACATACGCTCGTTATTTCATTATAACATTCACGAATCCTGTCTTACCAAACACATCATTTTCTAAGGTTTCACCATTCTTAATACACAAGGCTCTTCTCTCCTCACTGGGAGAACTAGCCTCAGTGAGAAAACTACGTTCTGGCGACCTTCTAGTGTAAACGACATCCGGAAAACAAGCCACTGCTCTATCCAATTCTACAACTATCTGTTCCTTTAATGTAACTGTCACTCCCCACAAATCTATGAATACTTGTCGTGGAGCAATCTCTCAAGCTGAATTCGTAGCTGATAATTCATAGACGATGAAATTATGATCTAAGAAAACCTGCGAGACCAGCAAGTTGTTGAGGTTTGCAGGATTAAGATTCGAAGGAGTGGCCAACTCATTCCAACGAATCATCTTATCCTTACGTTTGCCTCTCCAACATTACCATCAGCTGTTAAACTTGCATGGTATAATTGTCTTGTCCGGCACTATGTCTCAAACCTTTTTAAGGTGCTTTCAGTGCCAAAGGTTTGGACATTCAAAAGCATTTTGCCGTGGTACATCTGTTTGTGCTCGATGCTCTACTCCTGGCCATTCAGGCACTTCTTGTGAGTTGCATCCCCTTTGCATTAACGGCAAGGGAGCGCATGAAGCTTACACAGGAAATTGTCCCAGATGGTCAGAGGAGAATGAAATTCAATCTGTTAAAGTATTGTAGAACCTAACCTTTAATGAAGCTTGCCGAATCGTTCCCGTCCGTACACCCAGTCGTGGCGTGTTGTATTCTACGGCTGCTAAGGCTTCAAGTTGTTCTGTCGGTACTCAGACTAATTCCCCGGCACTAACATCTACTAAAATTAAACCACCAACTCAAAAACCTCAATTTAACTTTACCACACCATCAACATCTAATAGGACCACCTCACCTCCACCTAACAAATTATCTAAAATAGACAAATCCGAAAAGGCCCGACCTTTTACGAAACAAATCCCTTAAAAAAACTTCCCCCAAGTCAAAAGCCTGGCTATTCCAGGAAGAAAAAAGATGTAAAGTTCACTCAACCTGCCAATCAATCCACCTCTTCTTATTTACTGAAGATGGATTTTGAAGTAGAATTGTCTTTGCATTCTTCTGACGACGAATGCCTACTCGATTGACCTCTGGATATTGTCGTTAACTTTCAATCATCCTCTCATATTTCATAATGTCCATATGTTTCATGTTATGGAACTGTCGCGGTTTGCGAAATAAGAACCTCACGGAGGTGTTTCAATTTTAACTTCGAATGCATTACCATCTACTGACCTTTTATTATAAACCTCATTACAGGCTTGCATTGTCCATATCAATATTCTACTCACAATATGTACTGTTAACCTACCTCATCATGCACCCATTTCTCAAACAGTTATAGATCAATTACCTTCGCCTTTTATTTTGCTTGAAGATTTTAATGGTCATAGTGAGTTACGGGGTAGTTCCGCCTCCAATGGCCGGCGGCGCAAAATTGAGCAACGTATCCATGACCATAGCCTCTGTTTGCTGAATCAGGGCGAAGAAACTTATTTTCATACTCCAACACGAACAGTTCATTCCATTGATTTGTAAGGAAAAGTTTTCTATCTTCCTACTATGTGCGATTTTGGATAAATAAAAATGAAGTAAATTGGAGACATCACAACATTTAATATACACAGTTATTTACAAGTTAATATAAAATATATACATCCATTAATACTTTTACATCCCAATGTCTGGAACGTCAAGATAGTAATTATTATTGAGTTGTCTTAGCAATGCGTTGTTTTTATTTTTTATAAAACTAAATTTAAATGCTTGTTATGTTATTGCTCTTGCGCACCACAGATTTTGCTTTATGTTCACCATCTCTTATCTTTTATAAACTTTTCTGTGAGTGATGATCTTCATAACAACGAACAGTTTCCTCTAATAATTTCGTATTTTACTACTGTTTCCATGAGCCCAAGACCATCAGCTTTTATATATCATCGTGCTAATTGGCTTTTCTTTGCTCAGATCACGGAGGATATTGTGACACATGATACTGTAAGTGCAGCTGTTGACCCTGTTACGTATGTAATTCTAAAAGCGGCAGAAGATAGTATACCAAAGTCGTCAACTTCACTTCCTCAACATTGCAAACCGTGGTGGAATTCGGAATGTGCGGCTGCTTATAAAGAGTAGAGATACTTGTGGAACATATTCCGCCACTATCCCAACACTGCCAACGTTTTAGCTTTCAAACGGGCTAAAGCAATAACACGTAAGGTCAGGCGCAATAGTCAGAGAGATTCTTGGTCCCGTTACGTCTCGTCGGCAAAATCACATCGTCGACATCTCCCAGACAAGTCTGGTCGAGAGTTAAGAGGGCTAACGGCATATGCTGTGAATTTCACCTTCCGGTGTTGGAGACAAACGGTACAATTTACTCTTCTCCTGTTGACGTCTGTAATATGCTTGGTGAGGCATTTGCTGCTGTCTCTAGTCCCGAGAGTTACAGTTCAGCATTACAACATCACAAGCAGACCAACGAACGGAATAACATCCACTTTGGTACACGCGGTCTTTTCCTCTATAACAATAAGTTTAATTTTGAAGAATTACAACGAGCACTCTTGCGATCTAACACTACAAACCTCGGTCCTGATGGTATCACATGCTCAGCCAATTAGATCGGACGTCGTTGTCGAATGCCCTCGTTCTTTTCAATAGAATATGGACGGAACAAACGTACCCGTCTGGTTGGCGTGAAGCTAGTGTGATACCCATATTAAAACCAGGTAAAGACCCTAAGGATCCTATTAACTATCGCCCTACAGCGTTGATCAGCTGTCTTGGGAATTTTAGAACAAATGATAACATAGTTGCGCTTGAATTAAGAATTCGTAACGTTTTTGTCTGACGTAACCATTTCATCTATCTTCTTTGATATTGAGAAGGCTTACGATGGGACATGGCGATACAGAATTTTGAAGACACTTTACGACATAAGACTTCTTGGAAATCTGCCCATCTTCCTCATGAACTTTCTCTTGAAGCGGTATTTTGGAGTAAAACTTGGATCCACCTTTTCTGATCTTTACACTCAGATGGAAGGTGTCCCATAGGCAGCGTTTTAAGGGTCACATTATTCATCATTCATATTTCCCCAGTTTTAAACATATTGCGACCTACTGTCTTTGGCTCTCTCTATGTTGATGATCTACACAGCTCGTGCTCAGGATCCAACATGAGAGCCATCGAGCGACAATTGCAAATAGCCGTAAATAAAACTTTAGATTGGTGTGATCATAATGGCCACACCCTTTTACCTTCTAAAAGTTCGTGCATTCATTTCTGCCGGAAACGCAATTTGCATAATGATTCCGTCATCTCTTTTCATAACATTGCTATTCCAGTTGGGAAGCACACAAAATTTCTAGGGGTCGTTTTCGATAACAAACTAACTTTTATCACTCATATAAAGCAATTAAGAAAACGATGATGTGAGCAGAAATTAAATATGCTGCGTGTGCTGTCGAATACGTTTTGGGGAGCGGATCGCCAAGCCTTACTGCGGATTTATCAAACCTTGATATTATCGAGGCTCGATTATGCATGTGCAGTTTATGTTACTGCAACAGCTTCTAACATACGAGTCTTGGACACAGTACACCACACTGCTTTACGCATTTCGTACATCCTCTGTCAAAAGTTTATATGTTGTTTACCATCATCTGCCACTAGGCCGACGTCGCATGCAGATTTCTCTCACTTATACTTTCGTATCGTGTCAACTAAATCTCATCTATTGAAGCATGATGTTATTTCATCAAGTACTGTATGTTGCTAGACCGTCACATACTCGCCCATTTCATGCTCGCTCATACAAGCATTCGATATTTGTGAATTGCCTTTGCAATCAGCAAATCACTTTCTTATACCACCATGGACCATCTTACCATATCATTTTATTACACCATTTATGTTATTCAGTAAGACCAATGTTGCACCCTGCATTTTCCATCAACTCTTTATAGAACATCGTAATTAATATTCTGAATACGTACCTATTTTTACTGACTGGTCAAAATCTGCTGGATATGTTGGCTGTGGTGTCATCATCGCTGTGTGCGAGGACGTCTATAGCTATAAAATACCAGATATATTTGCTGCTTCTTTACTACTGAAGCTTTTACTATTCTTTTGGCAGTAAGCATTATTTCTTCATGCTCTACGCGGAGATATTGTATGTATTTACTCCGATAGTATGAGCGTTTTGAGCCAGTTAGATAATTTTAACAGTAATAATCATCCAATTTTATGTTTTATTCTTCTTCTGTTGATCACTCTTCATATAAATGGGTTTCGTGTGTTGTTTTGTTGGGTGGCAAGTCACGTTGGCATATCAGGAAACGACCCAGCTGCTGCTCGATCTGCCACTGCTCTCCTGCTCGATCTGGCACTGCTCATTATCTGAGCCTTTCTCGGATGTTAAGCTGCATTTTTGATGATCTATTACATCTTTATGGCAACAAAGATGGGACTTCCAAACTTTGAATAAACTACGTAATATTAAAACAGATTTGAACCAGTTG